TACTCATCAATACATTGGTATGTGTTTTAATATAAAAATACTGTTACTTAAAATGGAGTAAAAAAGATATGCCTGTTCCTCATTTATCCCTGGCATACTGCTGAAAGTCTTTGATTTGGGATAAAAAGGTCCAGACCAAAAACCAAACAAACAGTTTGCCAAAACTATCCACTTCTAATTACTTTAGGTTCATAACTATAAAAGTATTTAAATATTCTATGGGTGTCACACAAAATGATTGGTCAATATGAGGAATTTTGTTTTGTAATCAAGCAAAATGGCTTTCATATAGTAGACATTAAAAAAATAAAACTTGGTGTCCTAAAGTTTTAATTTGTAATCAGCTTTGGTCTAAGTAATAACAGTATTCCCTAATAAACATAAATTTCTTTAATCAATAAAATGTAGTATTGCCCAAAACAATACTACTGCATATATTTTAGATCCATACTTTATCTCTATCTATTGCAATTAGCAAACAGAGAAGACACTCCAAAAATGAGATTCTTGTCTTTATTAGCTTGTCCTTAACCTCCTTATGTTTATGGGCCTGTTTTTCTGACTTTACAATTTGGTTGTCTTTGATATGCATAGCCAAATTCCATCTTTGTTCATGAGTCACTTTCTTTTTTAAATAATTTTCATTTGTGACAAACCTCTATCTGTCTAATAATGGGGAAATGAATGAAATGAATGAAAGATTCAATCTTAATCATATATAACTCAAGATGAGAATGAGGATTTATGAATTTGCCCACAAAAAGCCATTTTTTGGTGACATCAGCTGCCTTTTCATTCAAACTCATCTGAAACAACCCCCCCCCCCAATGTTCACACAAGGAGCCATGGTGGCACAGCAGTTAAATGCTTGGCTGCAAACTGAAAGGTGGGTGATTTGAACACACCAGCTGCTCTCCAGGAGAAAGATATGGAAGTCTGCTGCCATATAGGTTACAACCTTGGAAACCCTATTGGACAGTTCTACTCTGTCCTATAGGAGCTCTGGTAGCATACTGCCTAAGACACTTGACTGCTAACCAGAAGGCTGGCGGTTCAAACCCATCAGCCACTCCTCGGAAGGAAGGCTGGGCAATCTATTTCTGCAGTGATACTGCCTCGGCAACCCAAGGAGGGATCGCTGTAAGTCGAGGCTGACTTGATGGCACATAACACCACCACCACTTTGTCCTATAGGGTCACTATGAATCAGTATCAACTCAACAGCAGTGAGTTTAATGGAATCTTGACCCAAGAGCCCTGGAGGTGCAATGGTTAAGTGTACCACTACTAACCAAAAGGCTGGTGGTTCACACTTACCAATCAGCTCTGTGGGAGAAAAGATCTGGTGATGTGCTTCTATTAAGATTACAAAGTATGAAACCCTATGGGGCATTGTACTCTGTCCTATAGGGTCACTATAACACAGAATTGACTTGATGGCAACTGTTTGTTTTTTTGAATCCTGATAAAACTCTTTTAACTGCAAATATGAGATTTGTTGTTTTTCCTTTCACTGGTTCTGTAATAGTCTTTACTAAATTACATGCTTAATGAGGATCTTAAAATAGTATTCATTTAAGTAACATTATAAAGAAAATGGAGTAATTTACAGTCATGTTATTCCTATTTCTCCTTAGGATTCGAAATTCATTCACTTGGTCAAAAATATTAAATGTCTCCTTATAGGGGCAAGGCATTCTTCTACACAACTGTGTAGCAGAGATAAGAACAAACTATGTAAGCCTCCTCCTGAAAGCCTGTTGTTGTTGTTATGTGCCATCAAGTTGGACCTGACTCATAGCGACCCCTCCTTGGGTTTCCGAGGCAGTATCACTACAGAAGTAGATTGCCC